CACATGGCCTGGCACAACCGTCGTGGTGACGTCATCGCCACTTAGTGGCGAATGGCGGTTGTTGTTATTGTTGCTACCAACGATGTGTGTGTGTGCTACCAACGATGTGTGTGTATGCTACCAACGATGTGTGTGTGTGCGCTACCAACGATGTGTGTGTGTTACCAACGATGTGTGTGTGTGTGTGCTACCAACGATGTGTGTGTTACCAACGATGTGTGTGTGTGCTACCAACGATGTGTGTGTGTGCTACCAAGGATGTGTGTGTGCTACCAAGGATGTGTGTGTGTGTGCTACCAAGGATGTGTGTGTGTGTGCTACCAACGATGTGTGCGTGTGTGCTACCAACGATGTGTGTGTGCTACCAGCGATGTGTGTGTGTGCTACCAAGGATGTGTGTGTGCTACCAGCGATGTGTGTGCTACCAAGGATGTGTGTGTGTGCTACCAAGGATGTGTGTGTGTGCTACCAACGATGTGTGTGTGCTACTAACGATGTGTGTGTGTGCTACCAACGATGTGTGTGTGTGCTACCTACGATGTGTGTGTGTGCTACCAACGATGTGTGTGCTACCAACGATGTGTGTGCTACCAGCGATGTGTGTGTGTGTGCTACCAACGATGTGTGTGTGTGCTAACAAGGATGTGTGTGTGTGTGCTATCTACGATGTGTGTGTGTGTGTGCTACCTACGATGTGTGTGCTACCAACGATGTGTGTGCTACCAGCGATGTGTGTGTGCTACCAACGATGTGTGTGCTACCAGCGATGTGTGTGTGTGCTACCAGCGATGTGTGTGTGTGTGCTACCAGCGATGTGTGTGCTACCAAGGATGTGTGTGTGTGTGCTACCAAGGATGTGTGTGTGTGCGCTACCAACAATGTGTGTGTGTGCTACCATCGATGTGTGTGTGCTACCAAGGATGTGTGTGTGTGTGCTACCAAGGATGTGTGTGTGTGCTACCAACGATGTGTGTGCTACCAAGGATGTGTGTGTGTGCTACCTACGCTGTGTGTGTGCTACCAACGATGTGTGTGCTACCAGCGATGTGTGTGTGCTACCAGCGATGTGTGTGTGTGTGCTACCAGCGATGTGTGTGCTACCAAGGATGTGTGTGTGTGTGCTACCAATGATGTGTGTGTGTGCTACCAAGGATGTGTGTGTGTGCGCTACCAACAATGTGTGTGTGTGCTACCATCGATGTGTGTGTGCTACCAAGGATGTGTGTGTGTGTGCTACCAAGGATGTGTGTGTGTGCTACAAACGATGTGTGTGCTACCAAGGATGTGTGTGTGTGCTACCTACGCTGTGTGTGTGTGCTACCAACGATGTGTGTGCTACCAACGATGTGTGTGCTACCAACGATGTGTGTGTGTCCTACCAAGGATGTGTGTGTGCTACCAAGGATGTGTGTGTGTGTGTGCTATCTACGATGTGTGTGTGTGTTACCTACGATGTTTGTGTGTGTGCTACCAACGATGTTTGTGCGTTTGTTTCTACACCTACAGTGAGGGAAAAAAAGTATTTGATCCCCTGCTGATTTTGTACGTTTGCCCACTGCCAAATAAATGATCAGTCTATAATTTTAATGGTAGGTTTATTTGATCAGTGAGAGACAGAATAACAATAAAAAAATCCAGAAAAACACATGTCAAAAATGTTATCAATTGATTTGCATTTTAATGAGGGAAATAAGTATTTGACCCCTCTGCAAAACATGACTTAGTACTTGGTGGCAAAACCCTTTTTGGCAATCACAGAGGTCAGACGTTTCTTGTAGTTGGCCACCAGGTTTGCACACGTCTCAGGAGGGATTTTGTCCCACTCCTATTTGCAGATCTTCTCCAAGTCATTAAAGTTTCGAGGCTGACGTTTTGCAACTCGAACCTTCAGCTCCCTCCACAGATTTTCTATGGGATTAAGGTCTGGAGACTGGCTAGGCCGCTCCAGGACCTTAATGTGCTTCTTCTTGAGCCACTCGTTTGTTGCCTTGGCCGTGTGTTTTGGGTCATTGTCATGCTGGAATACCCATCCACGACCCATTTTCAATGCCCTGGCTGAGGGAAGGAGGTTCTCACCCAAGATTTGATGGTACATGGCCCCGTCCATCGACCCTTTGATGCGGTGAAGTTGTCCTGTCCCCTTAGCAGAAAAACAACCCCAAAGCATAATGTTTCCACCTCCATGTTTGACGGTGGGGATGGTGTTCTTGGGGTCATAGGCAGCATTCCTCCTCCTCCAAACACGACGAGTTGAGTTGATGCCAAAGAGCTCCATTTTGGTCTCATCTGACCAGAACACTTTCACCCAGTTGTCCTCTGAATCATTCAGATGTTCATTGGCAAACTTCAGACGGGCATGTATATGTGCTTTTTTGAGCAGGGGGACCTTGCGGGCGCTGCAGGTTTTCAGTCGGTAAAGTCACGTAGGTAAAAAAATAAAACAAAAATCACGACGTTTCGGCCACAACACAAGCGGCCTTCATCAGGTGAAGGGACCAGCCTCTCTCGAAGACTGCGCTGGAGTGAAACAGAGCCAAGCTCAGACTGCGACCTTTAAGCTGTGTGAGTGGGACTAAGGTGCCTCGACAAAGGAATTAGCATAAAAAATTAGCATTTAATTGGCGGACTTAGCATGATGAAAGGTGTAGCACGCGGCAGTGCACCTTTAAGCTGTGTGAGAGGGATTAAGGTGCCTTGACAAAGGAATTAGCGTAAAAATTAACATTTTATTGGCGGACTTAGCATGATGAAAGGTGTAGCACAGTAATCGGCACCGGCAGTGCACCAGCCTGTGCTGCGAAAGTTTGGGGTACCACTACTTGAAAAAATATACTGTACCAATGAAAATGAATTTAATGTTTAGTTCGATTTAGAACATCTTCCCAATGGTTGCTTAATTTGAAACCATCTTCTCGGTTGAAATTGTGTCTGTGTTTGTAAATCTGAATTGCCTCGTGAACAAATCTCTGATAAAAACCTGTGCGTTTGCAAAGAACCTTGGTATCGGAGAAAATTATATCGTGATCACCCAACACCGTTGTAACAGTGATCAGCCACGGCAGAAGAATTCGTCCTGCCGTGTTTCAAATATGATTTGTGCTCGCGAATTCGCTCAGAGACATGTCGCTTCGTCTCCCCGATATAGCAATCACCGCAGGTACAACTCAATTTGTAAACCCCAGGGTACTGTAGGTCAGGGATGACATCCTTCACGGATGGGATCAGATCACGAATTTTATGTACTGTATTTTTTATCAGAAATTTGTTCACGAGGCAATTCAGATCTACAAACACAGACACAATTTCAACCGAGAAGATGGTTTCAAATTAAGCAACCATTGGAAAGATGTTCTAAATCGAACTAAACATTAAACTAATTTTCATTGGTACAGTATATTTTTTCAAGTAGTGGTACCCCAAACTTTCGCAGCACAGGCTGGTGCACTGCCGGTGCCGATTCCTGTGCAACACCTTTCATCATAATAAGTCCGCCAATCAAATGCTAATTTTTACGCTAATTCTTTTGTCAAGGCACCTTAATCCCTCTCACACAGCCTAAAGGTGCACTGCCGTGTGCTACACCTTTCATCATGCTAAGTCCGCCAATAAAATGCTAATTTTTACGCTTATTCCTTTGTCAAGGCACCTTAATCCCTCTCACACAGCTTAAAGGTCGCAGTCTGAGCTTGGCTCTGTTTGACTCCAGCGCAGTCTTCGAGACAGGCTGGTCCCTTCACCTGATGAAGGCCGCTTGTGTTGTGGCCGAAACGTCGTGATTTTTGTTGTTTTATTTTTTTACCTACGTGACTTTACCGAATAGAACCAAAGAGTATGGATCCTTGCAGTCACGAAAGCTTCAAATCTAGAAAAGGATTTCAGTCCTTCACGGCGTAGTGTGTTACCAATTGTTTTCTTGGTGACTATGGTCCCAGCTGCCTTGAGATCATTGACAAGATCCTCCCGTGTAGTTCTGGGCTGATTCCTCACCGTTCTCATGATCATTGCAACTCCACGAAGTGAGATCTTGCATGGAGCCCCAGGCCGAGGGAGATTGACAGTTCTTTTGTGTTCCTTCCATTTGCGAATAATCGCACCAACTGTTGTCACCTTCTCACCAAGCTGCTTGGCAATGGTCTTGTAGCCCATTCCAGCATTGTGTAGGTCTACAATCTTGTCCCTGACATCAATGGAGAGCTCTTTGGTCTTGGCCATGGTGGAGAGTTTGGAATCTGATTGATTGATTGCTTCTGTGGACAGGTGTCTTTTATACGGGTAACAAGCTCAGATTAGGAGCACTCCCTTTAAGAGTGTGCTCCTAATCTCAGCTCGTTACCTGTATAAAAGATACCTGGGAGCCAGAAATCTTTCTGATTGAGAGGGGGCAAAATACTTATTTCCCTCATTAAAATGCAAATCAATTTATACCATTTTTGACATGCGTTTTTCTGGATTTTTTTGTTATTCTGTCTCTCACTGTCCAAATAAACCTACCATTAAAATTATAGACTGATAATTTCTTCGTCAGTGGGCAAACGTACAAAATCAGCAGGGGATCAAATACTTTTTTCCCTCACTGTATCCCTAGAACTTGCTCTTGGTACCAACCGTACCAACACCCTATGCACATTGCTTGGCCGTAGTACATGTTGATAGCAGCACTTGTGCTTACGTTCGCTCTCGGGCTAAATGGGCAATCTTTGTGTGTCCTGCATCATCTGCGTGCGTTCGTGCGTGCACGTGTGTGTGTGTGTGTGCTTGTGTGCGCCCACGCGCCTGTCCAATGCTTGCTCAAATACATCTTGCAAAGAGCGCGCGTTTCGCAAGGTAACATCTCACTTTCGTTGGATCCCGTGGCTGTTGCAGAAGCAGCAGTAGTGTTTCCAGTGTGCCGTGACTGCATTTGGTATGAATCATTATTTCTATGTACACACCTTTTTCCCATTATGCCGTCACCGAGCCAAAAACATTTTTATGCAATCCCATTGCCTTGTGCTTCGCAGGCAGAGGAGGTGAAAAAAGAGGCTGAAAAAGCACTCGAGGAGATAACGGCTACAGCCAGGAGCGAGGTATTGGCACACGTTTGAGCTTTAATATTCTCATTTACGCACTGGTACCAGGGCAATGTGAATAGATTACATCTGTAATGGCTTTACTCAACGACACAACATTTGCAACAATAAGAAATAATGCGTTTTCGTTTTGCTCATCCCCCCCCCCCCTGCCACCACAGTAACTTTGGAAAGCCATAGGAGCTCATAAAGAGCAGGCATTCTTTCGTTAAAATTCTAAAGGATACCAAGATAAAGTGTAGTAATTTCTCAAAGGTCTTTTGTTGCGGTAGAAATCTTCAAACTTGTTTTTGTGCATCAGAGTGCCAGCACAGCGGTAACAATTGCACCTCGCAGCAAGAAGAGCCTCGGTTCGATTCCCGAATCAGGGACCTTTTTGCATGGAGTTTGTTATGTTCCTCCCTCTGTTCCACATGGGTTTCCTCAGGGTTTTCCGGTTCACTCCCATAGATAAAAAATAAAAAAAGAATCAAATGTAACCGGTGTTTGTCCAAACATCCCAATGCTGAAAACGTGGTCGGACACTCCTGCAACAACAAAAAAAAGTATTTGAGTTTTAGTGAGGCTTATCTGAGTCCAACAAGCAAAATAATAACAATCATCAGTATGCAAAAGTAGTATTTGTGTGAATGTTGATTTGAAGCTTTCGTGACTGCAGGCATCCATACTCTTTGGTTCTTTCGGTAAAGTCACCACTGCAGATAGGCAGAATGACTCAAAATACTGACACTGTAATAAGTCATGTATTACTCAGGTATACCTCACGGGAGTCCACAAGATACATTTGAAGGACTTACACGGAGGCTTGGCCAATTTCTTATTGAATGTTTCAGTATGCGTGATGACACAAGAATGTACGGAGAAACCCATGCATAGTTGAGAGGATAACACTCAAAATCTGCAAAGCTTTGTAATTAGCTTAATTGCTGTACTGTAACCTTATGAAGGCCGCCACGTAGCCCTGCTGGTTGGTGTCTTTTGGTGATCTCTGCATAATTAACCAACTCGACTCGTAAGGGTTAGCTCAAATTCGTGGAGTACCACTTAAAATATGATCAGAATCTTGCTTTACACTGGAGGAATCCAATGAGCTATAAAGCTCTTTTTCACAGATGTCCAGATTACTGAACTTTAGCAACGTTATGGGGATGTTGTCAAAGTGGTGGCATATTGAGCGCACTGGATTTGCAATGAAGGTCGCTGGTTCAATTTCCTAGGCCTACAGTTGAACCACGTGATCATAACAGCGCCCCCCCCCCCCAACCTCTGTCCACCCAGCCATATAAATGGGCACTCTACAGACAGTTATAGTGGCGGAGTACATTTGTGGTGGAGTAAATGTGGTTCCCCCAGCTCTTGCAGGATGTTTGGCCAGAGCGTGGAAAAGTAGGCCAAAATAGAAATAGCGGAGCTCTCGAGAGCTTCCTGAAGTGAAAGTTCTTTCGCCAGCAGTGGCATGAGCAGTGTATGCTTGGCTCTGTGGTAATAATGTTTAGTTCAGAACCAGAATGTTGCAAGTTCAATCCCTCATCAGAGGTTGATTTGAAATATCCTATAATCCCTCTATGTCCACAGTGGTTGCATTATGGAAACAACTGTTCCCTGGCATATGGATGTGGAATTTTCACCACTGATTAAGAGCCTCTATCGCAGATGAGCATTGTACAGTGCTCATTTAACACTGACACAGTTTGAATATTGATTACGGGACCATGGAATATGTTTTTGTTAATGAAGATGGCATGAATGTGATTTCAGTCTCTGCTCCAATAAAGAACTGGCCAAACATCCCAAGCAGGATCCTCTTGAGCAAGAGTATTGAGACTCAGTGGCTGTCAAACTGTGGTGTGCAGGAGCGTGGGATGATGATTGATAATTAATTGAGCAACGCTGTGTGTGCGTGTCGTGGCTTAGATCGACGCGTACCGGAGCCACAGAGGAGCGGCTGGCCTAGATGCGCTCTCGAGTTTTGCGAAGGCACAGGGAAAGGTGGCCAAAGACGTCCTGGGAACCTTCCAGGAAGAGCTGGATCGGTTCAGGAAACTCTGAGAACCCCCGCTTCAAGAAGCTCTCGCTGGGCAATCATCGGACAATCCGTCATTAACTTCGCTATTCAGAAGCACCAAAGAAGATATAAAAACACGCATATATATTTTTTAAATCCACTTCTCAATTGGCGGTGCAGTCATTAAGTTTCCAACAATTGCAAATGCAGGCCTGATTGATTAAGGCCCATCAAAGTGTTTCATCAGTGAGAACTATTGTTCACGCGTTTTTGCCGACACACGGATTAATTATGCCGTATTTATGCAGCCAATAATGAGGGTGTCTTCGTGTTTCGCAAATTTCACGCAATTATACCTTCTCTCACTTCATAATTTCTGAATAATGTATTTTGGTCTTTCTGAAGTGACCTTCACAAAGTCAATGTTTAATGCGCTTGTACAACATTTTTTTATGGGAATCGAAGCAGGTTTTAAACAATGGAGTTTTACCACAGAGTTTTAGTTTTTTCCCCACCATGGAGTTAGGTATCATATACACTACAATTAAAGAGTCCTCAAATCTGTATATTGAACAAGTGGAAATGCATTTTTTGTTCCATAATCATTGGCCATAAATCAATATTGTTTCCAGCCCTGAGCCAGTAGTGGAAATAAAAAAAATACAACTACGTACTATTGTCTTCCTACAAAGTGGTACCTATTTTAGAGAGACCCAGAGCGATGAATGGCTGTGCCTTTCCCTAATTGCGGTTTGAATCCACACTTCCAACTTATAAGCCATCCACTATAATCGCAGGACCACCTGGCCGAATCACAAAGTGCATTATAGTAAGCCACAATCTACAAGTTACTCTTAAGTATACATTTTTTTTAAGTTAATATTAAAGTTTGAAAATTTCTTATTGTGTATTCATTTCAATATGAAAATGTAAAAAAATGTATGTAAGAAAAATGTGTTAACTCTCAAATTCTATCTCTGAGCTTGAATGCCTGGGAGTTGTCATTCCACTCTTCGAGCTCCATGCACAATTGCATTAAGCGATCTCATAATCCATAACACATTGCAAAATCGGCGCGGTGTGTTTACTCTCGAGATCCTGCCCTGGTGTAGGAGTTAATACACTCGACTTGCAATCCAGAATTCACCAGTTCAACTTCCTGACATGGCAGTCAAAACAATGGGCCAGTTGTTTATGAAATTCCAACCAACCACCCACCCACCACGGTTCTGTCCACCCAGCAATGTAAGTAATATTAAAAAACACTTTTTTTATACACGTTTTAATGAAATGTACCCTACCAGTAATGGAAGAACTCCACGACTCCAGAAAGTGGCCCCGAAGCTTGCCATAACGTAAGGGCACCGTGGCCAATTACAGCCAACGTCAGTTGCGCGTGGACAATTAGACCCAAGCCGAAATATAACATATAAAAATATTGTTTAATTTTTTTTTATGATAGAATACAGTATTGTCATCAGTATGACATAAGTATACCAAGTTTGCAGTCGATGCCACATTGGGAAGTGGGTTAAAATTGAGTTACAAGATTTGAGGATACAACAACAACAGAGTGAGTTAATAGAAAGCGTGTAATAATAAATGAGTTCATCACAGTAAGTTGATCGGCAGATCATGGTGGGGTTAAGTGTATGTACTTGTACATCTTCCAAGCTGTCTGACTCGTGTGGAAGAGTAGACCAAATCTCCTCTCAAGGGGCTCAAGAGGAAGCTCGAGAGTCAGTAAGTACTGCACCTTCACTTTTCACATTTGCTTCATGCGCTTAACCTTGGACACCTTAATGCCGATTTAACCCCAATGAAGCTTGGGGAGCTGAACGGAGTTCAAAATAACTCACAAACAACTAGTTGTCAAAGACCTAGCGCAGAAGATCCCTCTGTGTTCGATCTTCCACGGAGCTCATGATCCACCCTAAACCGCATCCGCACAAACCCTGGCAGATGAGGATACCTGATGCACAAATGGAAAATAAAAAACTCTCCAATAGTGTGCGATTGTGGTCATCCAAAACAGAACAACGTATAACGACGCAATGCCCGATCCACAAATACGAAGGAGACATCGCGGCGATGCAGTCTTCTGCTCCTGACGCGTTTAATCTGGCTTGACCACCTGCATGTGAAATTGCTCTGCATCGACAACAGCAGCCGTACGAAAAAAGAAGATTTGTTCCGACTGCGCAAAAAGTGGGTTTCACAACATGGCACTTTGGGAGTGGGTCTGGAAAATGAGTTTCAAAAATTCCTCACTGCAGGGGTGCAAACATCACAGCAATGCCCGAGTTTGTAGACTTTTCAAAACGTATATTTTTATCTTTTCATTCTCTGCTTCTCTAAGTTCAGAGATTGTTCAATTTAATCAACTTTCCATTCAGTTTAAATTCATATACAGGGGGAATGCTTTTTAAGCTATCAGCATGTCTCTAAACCGAGGAACAGCACTGGAATATAATCTTCCCGAGGGAAAAAAACAGTGCCTGTGGCATGCTTTTGAAAATGATGAAATATTCCTCGCATAAATCACACGCACATCTGTGTGAAATCGCGACTATTTTTTGTCTTTTCCCAGAATTTGACATTGGTTATTACCGACATTATGTCAAATGAAAAATAATCCCATCTGAGCACTCGCAGAGCAGACTACCCATCGCATGTTTCAAAACATTTCACGGAAGGAGGTACCAAAGAAGGAGATACCCAAGACCTCATTTCTGAAACATCTCAAAGCAGCCTCTTTTCTGCACCATGGGGCAGGACTTTCCCACCCACCCTTCTGCAGATAAATGTTTGTCACATGGCAGGCAAAACGGTATTTTTAATTCTCGGCTGGAATTTAGCCAAATTCAGTGCAAAACCACAATTTAGTTAAACTTTTATTGTGCGGTCAGGGGTAAACCGAGTTAAGGCCATCAACTCAAAATACTTCAGTGCCCAGTTTAATCACGGGCGGCTGTCCAAGTACAACCCGAGGACCTCAGCCGATACCAGCTCCGCACTGAGACCTTTGAGCCAAAACCGGCGAGATTAATTTGATTTGAGAGAGAGCGGTTATTTACTTCAGCAGGAAGGGTCCGATAAGTTGTTCGGCTCTCGCATTGGCATCCTGCGACGGTCACAGATGTTATCCAGTACAGACCTCAGTTACAATCACGGTTAAATAGGGCGCGATACAAACAGCAAGTATCGGTACGTGCTTTACACGTTAAGGGAAAAGGGAACTGGTAAACAAAAATACATGTTAAACACAAAGCGTGACTAAATTATTTTACAAACCAAACATTGAGTACATCATGACGTGTTTAATACAGCACGCGAGTGGCACAACAGGTGCGGCCTGGGCACGCTGTCTGCACGCGTTGTTCGCCGTTTCACTTTTCAGTGACGACACCGAGTAAAGCCAACATCATCACCACCACCACCTGTGGCCCACACTTGCTGCTTCAACTACTGGCCACAAAGGGTGATCCCCGACTCAGCTGGGACGCGTGGCCACGTCTATCCCGACGACAACCTGCGGCGAGACCAACCACAACACCACGAGTGAGAGCCAGTGAGCCACCGATCACTTCCTCAACAAGTCGCCTGGCTTTCCATTGGAAATAGCTAGAATTTAAATTAATTTAATGGGGTTTTTTTTATTCAGCTAGACTTGCTTGGGACGTTTGCACGCGGAATGGAATCCGAGTAAACGAGATGACAGACATAAAAAAATCCACACGTAGGCGAGTGACCTACTTGCTCTACTGCCTGCAATGAAAACCGACGGCGCTATCTCACCTGTCATAGCAAGTGGCGGATTTGGCTCGTGACGCACTCGTGGACGAGCTTGTGAATGGTCGCGGATAACATCTGGGGGGGGGGGGGGGTTCGACACGTGAGGCTGGGAGATCGCGTGGAGATCGAACCATCAAATGCCCGACGAGGCAGTAGAGCAAGTAGGCCACTCGCCTACGTTTGGATTTTTTTGGTCTGTTATCTCGTTTACTCGGATTTCATTCCGCATGCAAACGTGTCAAGAAAGTCTCGCTGAATAAAATCAAAACAAACGATTATCTTAAATTCTAGCTATTTTCAATTGACTGACGGATGAACGCCCATTTCGGTCATGGTGGCCCCTTTTCACCACGCCCAGCCACACTGCTCAGCGTGGGTTGGCGAAGTGAGCAAGGGGAGAGCAGGGCCTGCATTGGTGTCACTCACCACCGATGTTAGACGTCGCCGGGAATAGAAATTGGGTCACCGGATTCACGGTGTAGCGTGCTACCCACTGTGCCACTGCATAATGAGACTCGATGAGGCTTACCCGAGTAAATTATTATTATTGGACATTGCACCGAGCCTTAATTTATCCACCCAGAAGGTGATTAAGTGCACAGATAAACATGTCATGAGTTTATCTCCAGTGTGCATAAGGTTAAATAATACGGCGTCATAAAAGCCACATTTATATGCACATGTATGTCGATGCAAAAGTGGGAAGAATGGTGGTGCACAGTGGTGCATTCATAAGCACACTGGCCCTATGAACCTGGTAACCTGAGCTCGATCACTGGTCCCGGCTAACATCAGTGGTGAAAGATATCCGAACTAGTCCTGGGTAGCCCCTTTCATTCACCCGCACTAACCAGCGTGGTGAAGTATGGTCAAACAACACTCATCGCCGACACCGTGTGGAGAGGGCTTCGTCCACCAATGTATTGACAATGCGTTGTAAACTTTTACTTAATTTTCAAAAAAATATCAGCAACTGGGCTTGAACAGGACAAATAACGAGAGGGGATTATGGCCGGTGGCCGAGGCTAGCAACGGAATGCCCACCATGGAGAAGTAGCTATGGAATCGGCATTTTTTTTAGTTTTGTCTTTTTTTAAACATTTTAATAATGGTTACTCATTTACCAGGTGCTTTAGTGCAGTGTAATTTCTGCACAAGATCACACGTTCTTTCAACCGTGTTATTTCATCTTTTCTGGGTACGCATTATGTGTGTAGCCTCTCCAATGGTGAAATTGTCGAAGCCATTAAGGGCCAGTGACTTCATTTTCTGGGAGGTATAACTCGTAATTTTTAGTTGTCGTCTAATGGCACATTTACAGCAGTAGGCTTGGTAGTTAAATAACCCATTGAACATGAACGAAGCTGTAATGTCTCCCTATGCGGGAAATGAAATGCTATACGAATATATTTTGGTAATTTGTACCCTTTAAAAATTAGCGCAGCATTGCACAAAATGGATGTTTGATTGCTTTTGTGTGCACGCTTTCATAAATAACCCTGCACTGCAGGAATCTATTTCAATAATAGATGTGTTTGTATGGACGTATGCCTCTGCGTGCCTGCGCGTGTGCTTTTATTTCAGTACCCATGCTAAGGAAATCAATGTAAGTGAAATTAATGCGATGTAGGGTGGCTGTGATACTGGCAATTAAATGCTGAAATGAGGTTGACGAAAAAAACATATACACCCTCTTATGGGTATATCCCACCATCACCTGTCCAGAATAACTTATAACATTCTTTATAATTGGCTTCTGTGAGAAAGGAGCTCCTTATTTATCGTGCAAAAATGTCCCAGTGTGCACAAGTAGGCACACGTTATTCACTTTCAATTCCTCAAACCGTCAGGCTGCAAGATTAAGGCAGAAGCGTACTTTTTATACGTATGAAAGAACAACACGCAAACAAAAATACATTTTGTCCATAACACTGCCGGCCTTAAAATGAAAACGAAATTTAACAGGCCACGTTTTGATCAATGGCCTTTGCCCACAGCACATCGAGAGGCCATAGATATAGAGGCATAGGATTTTTTAGATTGTTTCCATCAACTTATTTTGCGTAAAGTCACGTAGAATGAGAATAAAATAATACATTGATAAAATAAAATAACGTAATAATATTCTCACGACGTTTCGGCCACAACACAAGCGGCCTTCATTATTTTATCAAATTATTATTTTATTCTCATTCTACGTGACTTTACCGAAAGAACAAAAGAAGATGAATCCTTGCAGTCACGAAAGCTTTAAATCGAAATTTATTTTGCGTATTTCATTTACACCTTTGGCATTATGTACTCCGTCACGCAAGGTATTACTCAAAAGCGGATGAATACCCCTGGACAACAAAGTAAGATGTGCATCCCCCCACCAGCAAGGCGATGCGTACACCTGCGCCGTGCACATACACGGCACACATTGTTGTTGGGTCGCAGGGTATTTATCACACAAATACTTTACATGTCAGCATCGTCATTGGTCATAATCAATCCACTGC